ACATCATGATGTTTCGTTCAATGTCGCATTTTTTCACCCTAGTCCTATCAGAAACAGCTACTTATTGCGGTTCGGCAAGTCTTGGATTTGACCACTGCCATTTACGTTGTGACACCTCAGATCTCAGCTGGACATTTTCGACTGTCAGTATCATAAGATAACAACAAAGACCCTGACAGTGGAGCAAGCAAGTAAGACTGGAAAAAGTCAAAGCGGTAAAACTTTGGTCACTCAGCGGGAACCGCTGCGAATTGTGTTTCCGACACCCCAAAAAATGCAACCTACTAGCAAACGTGGAGTGATACGAGTTTTTGTCTAATCCAGACGTGTCATGGTTGCATTAGCCACACGATTTCACAAGCTATGAAGAGACCATTACTGCACATGATCTAAGCATTTTGTCATTGGCATCCTTCAGTATCTGGTCAGTTATTTGTCCACTTGATTAGAAAGCAATTAGTTGCATTACGTTAAGTTTAAAATCATTCAAAAGTGTCGTTTTTAGGTCACATTGGAAGATCCGTGAACGCTAAACTAAGGTAAAATATATTCTTACGTGGTGTAAGGCCAGAAAAAACAGCTCCCTGTGGTGCCGGTTTTTCTCACACTTAAAACACATCCCTGATTTGTATCTCATCACCCTGCCAAAATTTAAAAACAACTCAAACATGCAGAGGTTGCCGAAAAACAGGAATATTTTGCCATATGTCGAGGAGCTTTTATCGAATAGGGCTTTTTTTCAAGACAAACGGTTAGTGGATTAGAGGTTTGGTCCCAACCCTCATTTACATCCGTGGCAGGGGTAGTCGAAGTTACCCACTCCGAGTGTGTGTGTTGAAGTTTCACAGATAGCAACAACATATTTGAAGCGATGTTCATAAATTTGTGAATTGTTAACTTTTGAGACGTGGTATAAAGACCTATGAAAGAAGTGAAACCTGAGTTTCAAGTTATTAAAAATAATTCTACTTGATGAACAAAACGAGAAGTCGGCACTATGTAACACAGTTACATCTCTTGTTCAATATGTAATCTACCAACTGTGTCAAGAGACTTCACTGGCACCAATTAGCAGTTCTGTTTTCAAACTGAGTTTTTCCCACAAATTACGTGGACGGGGTTCCATTTGTCGGGAATGCAGGTTGTGCGTTTCCGCGAGATCGTATCGCTGTGCGTCATGTATGCGTTGGTGAAGCAAACAATTTACTACCCAAGCAGTATTTTCACTCTGTTTGAAAGAAGAAGGGGGAAAAACTTCCAACTGGAATATAATCTGATTTTATGGACCTATTGCATTGTCAGTCCATTGCTGAAGCTATTTGGGCTCGTGAGTAAAAGGTGTTGAGAAATTTTCTAATAAAATGCAGGTAGCTAATTAGGAACATTTCAAAAATTCTGTAGAAAAAATTGCTCTTTTTTGGGCAAACTTAGATTATTTGAAGCAAAATTATTCATAACTAACCCAAAATTTTCCGTTAACTCGCTGAATTTTGTGCCTGATGGAAATATGTATTTAAAGGTCATCGAAGCAACTTATTTTGATTTGGTAGCCCAAACGTGTGAGCTTCATTTTTTTCACGTTGTAACTGAAAAGATTCGGCGCTAAGAGACCATCTTTTTAAGTGAGTGTTTGTAGACTTACGTCGTTACTCTACTGCTTATTAACTACATGTTTGCATGACTTGTCTAACGAGGTTTTACTGTTAGTCTTTCGCACTCCTCGAACGCGGTTTAATAATCATTCAACCTAAGGGAGGATTATGATGTGTGGTATATGACCTTCAGGGTATGGCCAAGTAACTGTTACCTCATTCTTTCGTTTTAGAGCTCACCAGTATATATGATAGCAACAAAACGTGACCCATCCAGAGAAGTTGAAACCAGCAATCACCTTTGATGCTATCGCCTCCCCTCCCCAAATTTCTATCTCTCAGTAGCTAATTAGAGGCATTGTATCATCAGCAACAATAGGACACAGGCGATGGCCTTGACTTTCAAAGGAGCTTATACCTATTGAGATTAGGTACATCAAACAATAAGCCATTTTTACTAACTGAGTCATGCCGCCGTGATAAAAACATATGTATTCGAGAATTTCCTGAACAACACACTCGATGAGTTGTCAGAAATTAAACGGAATGAAAGATCAGTTAAAAAGGATGAACTCACCAAGGCTGTCCAATACCCGAATGAGGCAAAAATCGTTTGTGGGTTTCGAAAGTTTGTCGAAGACGTCGTGCTAAAAGTCAAAATTCTGTAATTGTTCGACCTTTTCGGAATGAGGTTTTTGTCCAAACTGTCAACTTAAACAAGAAAAAATCAAGATTGACAGGGTTCGTCGTAACAAACATACCAATAACGGGACTCAGAATTTTCTGTACTTTTTTATTCACAGACATACATGCTTTGACACCCAGGTTTTTCGCTTCGTTGGCTTCACTCTTCAAGCTATACTGCAAAATTTGCAGTATCTGACGGTCCTACTGAGTCGGCTGTGTTAAGCACCGGCTAGAAACCAACCGTGTGAATACCCTAATTTGGCTATGCAGTTGGTGATCGGTACCTAGGATCGTCAAAGCTTTTCAATGCGGAACTGGCTGAGACAATTCCTGGTACCGGAAGAACATGCTTCTTCTATTAAGATCTTGGTGCTGTGAGACTTGACATTGAAGGTAACAGCGTTTGAAACACGAAAAAATAGTTGTTCCTGAATCAAATAACAAGTCACCTGTAAACATGCGTGTTTCCCGTGAGACCCAGACTTGTTAAGTTCAAACCTGGCCTTGCATCGCCTATCAGTGCCATTTCTTAATTGGAAACTAGATGAAAATTGTTTGGATTTATTCGTTCATTTGCGGTTCAAGGTCATTTTTGCTGAATTCTTACTTGACCATTTCATCCGTTGATTCCACCTTGTGGTGGATCAACGGGAGGGGATATTTTGCTTACCTTTGTTTTCTAGTCTTCCATTTGTGTTGCGTAAACTCATGTAAACTAGAAAATGAATCCAAATTGCCTTGCGTGTACAAAAGTCTGCGTGAACACTGAATGACATGTATCAAAAGTTTACCTAGTCAAGCCATTCTGACTGTTTTACAAAGTCTGATGCATTCTACGCTTTTCTGAGCGCATGACGTGCACAAATTAGTTGGCTATAAGTTGAGGGTGATTACCCAAGAGTTGGAAAATTTGATTTGGTTTCTTATCCTGCTTCTTCAAGGGAAGCAGTATAAATTGTGAAGTTGCGTACACTTCAGTAGTTTGCTGTGCCTTTCTCAGAAGGAGTTTACAAGGGAATTCTAATAACATTCCAAGTGACAAGTGTAAATACGACAAATTTTGGTCCCCCTAATTGTCTTAGGCACATTGAAAAGAGAATGCTTGTTTTCGGTTTTGTTTATTTGGATATAATTTTACACTAAGTTTCCTGTGGCGAAATTCAAAACGTCACGGTGGTGGAGGAGCGGTGATAGGAACGCCCTGCCCATCCGAGGCAGATCTCCCTCCATGTTCATTGTTAAATCCCGTTGAAGCGATTTAATAAGAGTGGATCACAAGTCCAGTTTTGTTTTCCATTGATGCTGACGTGCCGAAATGATTGTACCGCGAGCAGGAACTTTGATGTCGACTGGGGGGAATGAGGCACCAAGTGTGTTGTGGAAAACGTGCCGACACGTTCGACATGGACTAATCAACGATTGCGCCATTTGGTGATGTTTCCTGCTGCCCCGGGCGACATTCATTATAGTAGTCTGAAAGTTCGAAAACTGCTCGGACTGAGAACGGTTCTTTGTTAATAATATTCCCACGACGGTCATTTCTTGGACGTCCCGTTTTCTCAAATGTCTTGCCAAGCGGGTATCGTAAATTTATATATACTTTTTCTGCAAACAATACTGATGTTGGTTGAAACAACTGATCCTTGCAACAAATTTAAAAGGGATATTCAAGTCCTAAATTCTGCCGAACTTGTGGGGGTCAAAAGTAATTTCTCCCATTCTAATATAATGAATAGAAATTGTACACCACCTGTTTAGTCTTGCCCCAATGTAATCAAATTAAACTGGCGGAGCTATGTTTTCTTCTTAACGCAAGGTATGAGACAGTTGACCAGATGTCTAAGTATCCAAAAGGCTGTACATTGAAACAAGCTATTAACCAAGACTTCTGTTATGATTTAACAATCTTGAGGGGACAATGTGGGATGCCAAAATTCTATTTTTTATATTCTACCATGCGGCATAGAAGAGCCACACCACCTGGGATCTCCGGTTGAACTCTATACGTAAAAAGTATTTATTTATTTATTTATCTCCGCTGCTCTTTCGACTGACTTGCTTCATTTAACAAGTTTATGGAATTTTAGCCTAGCAAGGAAAAACCAACAAAATATTCTNAAAGTGTTCTCTGAAGTTTGATATGAAAATGGCCTAAAGGTGGATTCTGAATATTGTTGGGCTTTAAGGGCAAATCCTGTTAGAATGCGACTCGAGTAAACCGCAGTCTATCTATTTATTTCAAGATTTACTGAGAGGTGTGTGCCAAATAGATTCACTAATTAAATTCCACAGTAGTTTCCAGTAGCTTCGTTCCAAATTTTTATGTTTACGTAACAACATTTGGTGCGTCATGTCCATAATATCAAGCACAAAGATCTGCATTTGCGCGGAGCATCGGGAAATGAAACGTTTTTTCTATTTCCTTGAAGCAGCCGAAGTTCCTGTGACTTTTTGGATACAACATCCGCGCTGTTCGCATGGTTCTTATGGTTGGAAATGTTTGACAGAGGAATTTCGAAAAACCAAGTATGCCGTTTCTATCCAACAAAAACGCGAACTGTCCGCATTGCCCGTCTTATTTTTGACTGCCGAAAATTCCACGAATTGCGCTAAAATTTTACAACAATATCTGCATAGATTTTTGTAGTTAGGTAGTAGATGGATTGCATACCATTGATTCTCTCTTTTATTTGTTTGTCAGATAGTCCAACATTATGAAAAATGGAAATTCAGCAAGGTCTAATGCTCAATTTGAAATGTCGTGTTCAGGGAGAACGAGATCCAGACATTCGATGGTATAAGGATGGACAACCGATCAATCCAGAACGGCATCCAAACGTGGAAATCAGTTCTGGCGTGTAAGTTTCCACTCAGCTAAATTTGTCTCCAGAGTTTTGTGAAATCTCAGTCAACCTGTCGGTGCCGCAAACGATGCATGATTGGAGCTGTATCGATTCAGTATTTATAGTTAGTTACATTTTATTTATCACAATATGCCAACTTATTATAGAACCTACCATGGATAGTTACCAGGCAGAATTTAGAGCCAAAAGTTGGCACGGCGTGTTGAGCAGCCGGTCTTATCTATCGTTTATCTAAGTATCGTTATATTAAA